CTCAAAACTAAACAAAAAAATTTGTCCAATATAGTTCTCAAATAAATATAGTTGAATTTGAAACCAAATGTATTCAAAAATGAAACAGCATATACTTATTTTTGAGCAAAAGGCATAATCTCAAAAGTGATGTGGAGGAGAAAATGTGTAAGAGAGATGTTCGCTGTCTACCGGAAAGACTCAAACCGTTCTAACTACCACAGCTCAGTGGGCCAGCATCCAAGGTTTCGTGGCCAAAATTTGGGGGGTTTTATGTGCAGGTAAACTGAATTCATAGTTTAAATTTTGAAATGCACTAAAAATTCCCAAAAAAACAAAATGGCGGCTGAAATATGGCGAGCAAAAATAACAGAAATAATATAGTACGTTTAAATACTTAAATATAGCAATGAAAATATAATAATTTTCGTAATTTTATGTTAAAAATGAAAAGCAAATTATATTTCCGGAGTAATACTAGAAAATAACGCGAATTAATTGCGAAATAACGCGTAAACATTAAGAAGAAATTTTTTTTTTTTGTTTTTCGGTATATTTAGTCCACCTTTGCAATACGGGCAAAATGAGGCAGGTTTTTTCGAAAAAAGAAACATCAAAGAAGACAACAAAAAAAGTTTAGCTAATTACCTCGGGGAACTTTTTGGAACTAAGTTTCGAAAGTCATTCAAACATTGTAAAATGTGAAATGATTAGATATAAACTATAAGTTTGTCAAGAGTATTAACTAATCCAACAAATTGAAAAATTGTACTATAATTTCAGACTAATTACTCTGATAAAAATGTAACAGTAAGGTGAAATTCCTATATATATTTCTGAAATAAAAATTTAAAATCATTCAAAAAAAAACTTTTTTTAGCATATTTCTCATTACATTGTACTCTCGTAGGTTCAGAAAGGTTCTCGTAGGTTCATAATAATGTTTGGAATGATTATGAATACTTAATTTGGGCTATATTAAAACTGCCTACACATATTTTAGTTGAAAATTTAATTTTTGACTTTTGNACAAAAAAAAGTTTAGCTAATTACCTCGGGGAACTTTTTGGAACTAAGTTTCGAAAGTCATTCAAACATTGTAAAATGTGAAATAAGATATAAACTATAAGTTTGTCAAGAGTATTAACTAATCCAACAAATTGAAAAATTGTACTATAATTTCAGACTAATTATTCTGATAAAAATGTAACAGTAAGATGAAATTCCTATATATATTTCTGAACTAAAAATTTAAAAGTTACGTTCAAAAAAAACTTTTTTTAGCATATTTCTCATTGCATTGTACTCTCGTAGGTTCAGAAAGTAAATAATAATGTTTTGAATGATTATGAATACTTAATTTGGGCTATATTAAAACTGCCTACACATGTTTTAGTTGAAAATTTAATTTTTAACTTTTAGCCAAAGATCATGGTCTTCTGGCCCACAGTGCACAGTTAGATAGCTTTGAATAGTCAACCACCGCTATGACACTTCATAATGTACTCATTTCCAATTTTAATGGTTGCAATTTTGAAAGCCTGATCCCAAAAGCTTAGTCAGGATATTGATAATTTAATTTAACTTTTTGCTTATTTCACTTAATATTAAAAAACTTTAAAGCGAATGGAATGTATTTCATTGTGTATCATTGCGGCGGTCCTAAATAAAGCGTCCTACTCCCTGGAGTAGTGTCTACAACTATGGTGGTTTGAGCATCCTACTACGATACCGGAGGTTCTTGATTCGAATCCTGCCTGCAGCCAATGAACTTATCTCTCACACATATTTCTCCCTCCACATCACTCTGCAGACTAAACATTTTTGCTCAAAAGTGAATATATGCTGTTTCAGTTTTGAATACATTGGGTTTTCAAATTCAGCCATATTTGCTTTGGAGCAGTTTTTCAAGGGATTATTGTGAAATAGATACATATTTTTTTTCTCCAAAAGCAGAAGGAGAGCGTTCTCCCTCCAATGAGGTAAACCGGGTTCGAATTCCAGCAATGGCTGGTCGATACGAATTCCGCATCCGGCATGCACCGACCACACTGCGCTGACGTAATATATCCTCAGTGGTAGACGGATCAGAAGTTAGAAACCCCTGGTCTTCAGACTAAGAGTGGGAGGCTTTCGTGGTTTTCCTCTCAAGGTAACGCAAATGCGGGTTAGCTCCATCAAAAAGTTCCCCACGAAGGCAAATTTCTCCCAATACTCGATCCAGGAATTGCCGTGTCTTTTGGATTGGGTTCAAAATTACAAGGCTACGGAGATGAATATTAGTAGTCGTAAACCCATAAAATTGAGTCGGCTGTTCAACGATGCTATAAAATAAAATAGTTTCTTTTCATAGTGTATTATTCAAAAAAAATCAAAGCTCAAGTATATATTCAACCTTCTTGTATTTGATAAAAAATTTTAATGAATATAAATTGCCCCATTTCTTAAACAACTTTAGATCACGACCGTTCAAAATGCTGTTGTTGTTGTTGTTGTTACTTATGCGACTTGCCAATGCAAGCAAGCTATGGGAAATCATAGTGAATTTTTTAAAACAGAGGACGCGTTTCTTATTTTTCAGTGACGCCATCTATGACCAAGAATACGACTTCAGCCACATACACGTCACAACTCGTTTTATAGCGAGGACCCATTACTACAGCATTCATCACACAAATTCACAACATTCCTACAGCATTCATCACAAAAAACATCCACAAATCATAATTTTGACCTGAACCAAAGAACGATCAATTTACAATTCAGTACCCCCAGAGGTATTGATTCGCTTGGAGGATTGTGTGACCCCGAAAGATTTTATGTGCGAGATTCCTCGGCCAGCAGGATTCGATGTCGCGAACACGAACCCAATGTCCTATCAGCCAAGCTATCTCGGCTTTTTAAAAATGTGCTAAGTATAATTTAACCCTGCAGACGGCAAGTTCCTTTCATTGTGAAAAAAAAACCGCTTGGAAGAAATTAGTCTTTTCTAACCTAAGTTGAGAAAAATTCTATTTAAAACAGAAATATTAAATTAAAATTTTAAACAGAAATATTAAATTAAAATTAAAATTTTAAACATTTCAAGATGAACAGCTTCAATCTTGTAATCAAGTATTAATAATAGTATTTATTTCAGGGTCATTTGATACGTCATTATTAAACAAAGTGTAAATGAAAAGAAAAAACTGCAGAGAGAAGTACATTTAATATGATTAAAAAAAAGCAACAGCAGTTTCGTTAATTGTTTTATACGAGGGAGTTTTGTTGAATTTAATAATTATATAAAGAACTAAAGTGAAATATTGTAATCAAATTACATATTCACAATTACGAATAGCATATTAATGATCATAACCAATTGCTGTTCAGTATGAATACTAAAAATAATTTAGATAGTATGGTAAATATATTTTTTAATATCAAATATCAATAGATATTTTTAAATCACATTTAATTTTACATAAAAAAAAATTATAAAATTTTAATCAATTGTATTTTATAAAATAAACTCAATAGTTTTAACTCACTTAATACTGATTTTTTATTTTCAAACTAATGATCATATAAAATTAAAAAGCATTTGAAAAAATGGCAAACAATGTTAATGCTTTTTTATTATTTGAACTGAAAATTGTGAAAAAATTCATGAACATACAGCGTGCATTTTGAACTTTATAGTATTTATTTTCAAAAATAAAACTTGTAAACTTTCTTGTATATAAAATAAAACTTGCAAATAAGACATGTAATGTAAATATTATTTCAAATCAAAAGGTTATTTATTCCCAATTCCAGGTTTAGAATATTTTGCTTTCAATTTACAAACATTTTAACTTGATGGTGAAAAAATTGTTCTTTTTATTGTTAAATAATATCGGTTTTTTCAACCAAAAAAAAGGAAAATTATTTAAAAACAAAACTACTATCTGAACTAACTAAAAAATTCATTGGCCTTAAAAATTGTATTGAAAATTTAACATATTTTCTTAATTAATATTTTTGTAAATAATATTTTAAATTTTTATTTATTTATTTTTTTGAAAGTTATCAGAATTATCGTATACGGAATATTCATTAAGGTAAAACTAATAAAAGTACACATAATTTATCTAGAAAAAGTTTTGTACAGTTTTATTAAAGATTCTATAAAATAAGGAGTAATTCATAATAAATTATTATAATAGGTTTCATAGATTTTAAAATTCTGTATAAAACTAGTACATAATATAAAAATAATTATTTTGTAAAAGAAAACTAAATTAATAATTATTTTTACTTTTTTGAGCTATATTAAATTTCATTTGTTTCATAACTATTATTCTAAGTTATTAAAAATTTGTTTCGGCCATTTTTAGTTTCTTCCATTTTGTCCAATTTCTGTTTTTCTACTTTCTTCCAGTGTTCTGAAAGAAATATGTTTCTTTTTGACTAAATTCCAATCCTTATTTAACCCTTACTTTTTTAAGGTAGTATAGCAGTGGAAGAAATTATTCCATTGAAATAATTCAAACTTAAACTTGTAGCAGAAATAATTTCTTGCGTTGTATTTATTCAAAATATTTTAATGAACAGTCGTGATGGCTCAGGCGATAGAGCGTTCGCCTTCTAATCAGGAGAACAAGGTTCGAATCCCAGTGATGGCTAGTCAATACAAATTCCGCATCCGGCTTGCGCTGATTACAGTGTTGACGTAAAATATCCTAAGTGGTAGACGAATCACGGGTTAGATTTTTGCCGTCAGGCTAACCGTTTAAGTTTTTCGTGGTTTTCTTCCCCGTGTAACGCAAATGTGGGTTACTTCAAAAAAATTCCACCACGAAGGCAAATTTCTCCAATGCTTGATCCAGGAGTGAGTTCCCTTGTCTTCCGGATCAGGTTCAAAATTACGAGGCTACGGAGTTAACATTAGTAGTCGTAAACCCCAAAATGGGGTTGGCTGTTCAACGACGGTTATAAATAAATTGCCGTTAGATATCTTACACTTAATTCTTACAAATTCTATTTTTACTACTTTTTAGATACTCTTAGAACAAGTCCTTCTCCATTAGACATGACATCTGTATCATATTCCTCTTGCTCAAATAACACTGGATTTCCTTCATCAAGTGAGTGTTTTGTTTTTTGCCATTTAGTGTATACTATGTATTTCACTTATGTATTATAAATTATGTGCGTGATCATAATGATTTCATATACAAAGGTTTTAACCCACACAATACTTATTTTTCAGAAAATAATTGTTTAAGTTATAAGATTATAGTTTCTTCAAATAGACCATATTAGAGCGTATTAATATGATGCTGGTCCCTCTTTTGCATCGATGATAGCCTGCACACGTCTGGGAAGACTTTCCATCAGTTTTTGATTGGTGGCCATAGGAATTGACTTCCAGGCTTCCATCACAGCTGAAGTGAGTGCTTGCAGTGAGGAGGGTCGATTTGGCTGGCAGCGTAATCTGCGCTCTAATTTCTTCCAAAAGGTGCTCTATGTGATTTAGATCGAGGTACTGAGAAGAACAGACCAGTTTTTGAGCACCCATTTCGTCAAACCAAGTTCGTGCAAGCCTCGATGTGTGAATGGAGCAGTTATCCTGCTGGAAGAGAAATGGGCCTTCCCCGAAATATAGCCATAGAGTTTGGAGTGCAGCATTGTCCAGAATGTCCACATACGTCTCAGAGTTCATGTATCCAACCACAGGAACCAACGAACACAGGCCAAACCACAAGAAACACCCCCACACCATTTCCACCACTATAACAACCAGTTGTCTGGATACTTTTGACTAGATAGTGTAGATTGCCAATATAGTTACTTCTTATAACAGGGTGCGTAGCGTTTTTAAAAAGTGCTTAAAGGTGCTTATTTCCGATTTTTGTTTTTTAAAAGCGTTTAATTTTTCCTTTTTCCAAATGAGATTTTTCTATTACTATGTTGATTTTCGCTTCAAATTATGCAAAAAGACACAGTTCACATTGTTCTATTCAACGTTTTCACAATTAATTCTACCCCTATCAGGAGTCTGTTTAGAAGAAATTTGGGTCTGTTAACGGACCCTTCACAAAATGTCTTTTCATAAAAACGAACCCTTCACAAAATGTTTTAACTTAAAAAAGGACCCTTCACAAAATAATTTATCTTTTAATCCGACCCTACACAAATTTGTTTATCTTCATTATTTTTTTGTTAATCGAATAAACCCTTCCCAGGAAGGGAGGGGGGGAAGAAAGACAAATGTAAAGGAACTAAGTTTTGTCTTTGTCAGATGCTTCTTCCTTTATTCGGCCGAAATGAATATTCTGCTTTAAGCAGTATAAGCTAAATACCAAATATTTGTATGTTGCATCTCTAATTTAGTAGCAGCATTTGCTGTTTATTTTTTAAAATGTAATTTTTTTAATTGTAATTTTACAGTGTTGAGCATAATCTTGTATGTCTTTACAATTTTAAAACTCTTTGAAAAAGTTTTTTGCAATAATAGGACCCTATTTGCACAAATTTACGAAAGCAGGACCCTGGTTGAAAGAATGTGACTTAACGTTTATTTTAAATTCACAAATTACGAGTAATTATTTCACAATTTTACAAAAACGGACCTTTCACAAAATGTCTGGACAGACCCCTGCCTATCTATTTCGGCGTTTGTCAGTCCGTATCGTATGAAAACGCCATTCGTTTTACATGATTCTAAATTTCATGATTTTTGACAAATGTTAAAAACAACGACAAAAAGTTTTTTTTTTTGACATGACGGTTAAAGCAAGATAAAANTAAAATTTAATTTTTTTAATTATAATTTTACAGTTTTAAGCATAATCTTGTAGATCTTTACAATTTAAAAATTCCTTGAAAAAGTTTTTTTTGCAATAACAGACCCTATTTGCACCAATTCTCAAAAGCGGACCCTGGTTGAAAGAATGTGACTTAACGTTTATTTTATATTCACAAATTACGAGTAATTTTTTCACAATTTTACAAAAACGGACCTTTCACAAAATGTCTGGACAGACCCCTGCCGAACTATTTCGGCGTTTGTCAGTCCGTATTGTATGAAAACGCCATTCGTTTTACATGATTCAAAATTTCATGATTTTTAACAAATGTTAAAAACAATGCCATTTTTTTTTTTTTTTTTTTTTTTTTTTTTTTTTTTTTTTTTTTTACATGACGTTTAAAACGAGATAAAACCGTCGATTGTCAAAAACTGCCCAACCCTTCCTAATTATATTTTTTTAGTGCTTAAAAATATTTTTGAGTGCTTGAAAAGTGCTTAAAAGGTGCTTATTTTTGTTGAATAATTTGACTACGCACCCTGTATAAGATATTTATTTACGTAAGCACAGAAGCAAATTTTCGGAATTTTTTATGAATAAGATTATATCAAATATAAACATTCACTTTGACTTTTAAATACTCTAATAGGTCATACATTAAGGGGAAAATGCCCAACATTTGTGTTTTAAATTAATAAGGGTCACTAAACTTCAATATTGGTATCAGAAAATTTAGGTTTACTTTAAAAGGTTACACGTTATTTTCTATCTTGAATTTCATTATTCGAAGCGGAGAATGCTTCATAATTTTGAAGAAAATTATGGGCATCATGAATTAAATCAGAAAAAATTGGTAAAATTTAAGGAGCAGTTGTTACTTGATATTCTAAGGTCAATTAAGCCTTTCCTCGAAAACAAGTAATGTACTGTTTTTGTTTCGGGACATTTCATGTGTTTGTTTTCTTTATTTTTACTAATTCCTTTCTGTACTAGAGAAGTTGAATAATTAGCAAAAAAAAGTTCCTCATTTATTTTACTTCCAGTTGTTTTAAAATTAATTTACTAAATTTTATTACTATCAAAAATGTCCAAATTTCGTCTAATGGTTATAGTTTATCTGTTAAATTTCAAAAAACTTTTTTATGTAATTATTTCTGAAATTTTGATTTTTTTGGGATTCTATTGAGAATTCATTAATAAAACAAGGCTTAAGATTGTGTTATTTCTAAGATTTTAATGTTTAAAACTTATCTAACCCCATGCCTTAATTATACCATTGTAATTCATAATAATTGAACGAGCACCATCAGCAGTCATTTCAATTTATCAATCAATGAATTTCTTGTTTGTATCATTCTAAATTGTAAGTAACATCTATAAATTATAGTTAATTAATCGGAACTTTCTTATAATTTTATTGAGAACATTTTTAAATGCAGTATTCTTGTTTAGTATTATAAAAGGCATCAGTTCAATTTATTATAAGTACATTAATCAACACATAATTAATTCAAGAAATTTGTCAAGATGTACATTTAAAAGTGTTTTTTATGGGGTGAAGAGAGTAATTAGTCAGGCTATTTTAGGGTGGGTATTAAATAACCTTGCTGCAAAAACCTTTTACTCTAGCGTATTTTGGTAGGAAATACTTGGGTATACCGCAAATCATGTTGCAAAACCAAAAACTTTGCATGAAAAATAATGAAGCAAATAAATTAGTTTTTTTTATTTTAATTCCTTTTTTTCATTTTTAATTAATTTAAATTTATTATTTGAACATATAAACTTCCATTTTAAACGAAATTATCATCAAAATTTTAGTAAAAAATATGTTCAGAAAAATGGCCTATGTTTTTAAAAAAAATGCAATTATTGAAAAATACATCTTGTTACTTGTTAGTTGTTCTAAAGAAGTATTCCCTCTGCTATTGTTTTTCCCCATAAAATTTAAACGATACTAAAAAGATTTGATACGATTTGAACCTAGATTAACAAAAATAAACAGTTGAAAGATATTTCAGCCAAAATTAATGTTCATACCATTTTATTTTAACCAACAGTTACTACTACCNAAATAGAAAATACGTAATCGTAAATTTTCATAGCTAGCTTTGCTTTTAAAAAAAAAAATTTTGAAATTTTTGTTTGTTGCAAGATATTTCACATAAGAACTCGTACCCCCGCTAAGCTGCTCTCGTACCCCTGGGGGTACGCGTACCACACTTTGGGAAACACTGACCTAGATTAACGAAAATAAACAGTTGAAAGATATTTCAGCCAAAATTAATGTTCATACCATTTTATTTTAACCAACAGTTACTACTACCATTTACGTAAGTTATCTAGTTACCAAAAATATTAACGAAGTAGTGCAAGGCAAAATTTTAACTAAATCCGCACATCCTATACTTGAAAGTTAGTTATTCCATGAACAGATTTCATTTGCACAGATATTAGCAAGGCTTAAAATTAATGGTAGTCCGGTTCAAGACAAGTAAACTTCCACTCGGACCACCCTAAAATATTTATTGGTGGTTCACCGCACCAACTATTGATGTAAAAGGCTAGTTAGCTTTTTTTTCTCGGTATAATGTTTGGGTCTATGTTTTTGTCTCAAAGTAACATATTTCTTAATAACTCTGACATAACACATTCTCCGTATTATAAAAATGAACTTTTTTTAAAAAAAACCTGCTTAGTATTAAAGATTTTTGTTTATAAAAAAACTAATATATTCTAAAATTCTTTAGGTTCCATGAGAACAGCCCCCTATCCTATAGCTTTATACCTTTGCTCAGGACGAGAGAAATATGGAGATGAGCGTAAGTTTACTCAAATATTGTTAGTTAAATACACAAAGAAACAGCATTACTGTTATTGCAGCAGATAATTGTTAATTTCGGAATTCTTATATTCTCTTCGAAATTGTTTTATTGATGGCACGACATTCCTTACGATGATTTTGCCGAATTTTAATGCAATTAAATTTCTCATGCCCAATCATATGTCAGCTGATTTTATTTTTTGTAACAAATATCATCAAGTTTTATATGCAATATTTCAAGCTGAATTGTTTTCCTTGTTCTTTTCCATAAGTATCAAAATATTTTATGCTTCTGAAGTTTTTAAGAAATAATCTTTTTACCCTTTTTCAAAAGATTGTTAAAATGTATACTTAAGATATGTTTTGCCTCAATAACTTATGTTTTAAATCTGTCGAGTCGCAAAAGTCCTCCATGTTCCCATAACAAATCAAAAAATCTGGGGATACTGGATTGGAGATAGATCGTTCTCGGATTCAGGTCAAAATTACGATCTGTGGATGTATGAATGGGTCTGCCATATAAACGGGTGCGACGTATGGTGTGGCAGAAGTGGAACTCTTGGCTATAGATGGCGCCACTGTAAAACAAGAAACGCGCACTCTGCCTTAAATTTGCTCGGTTTCACCAAGCAGGCTTGCACGTGTGGCAAGTTCCATTAGAAACAACAACTTATGTTTATCTTGATTGGACTCACAGGAGAAATTTGGGTCCTTTAACGAATCCTACTTAAAAATTTTATCATCACAACGAACCTTTCTTTCACAAAATAGTTTACCGTATAAACAGACCCTGCAAATTATTATGTCTGAAAACGGATTCTTCATTTTTTTTTCTCCCGCCATTTTAAAAATCGGTCCTTCACATATCTGTGTTTATCTTAAAAATTAATTAGTGTTTTTTTTTTCAAAATAATTAATAATTGAAAATTTGCGGAAATTATGCTTAATTATCTTATTTTCCTTCTTGAAGTTAAAATTCCTTTAAAAACAAATCTAAAATTTCTAAGTCTTAGATGTAGTATACACGGGTAATATTTTTTTATCTCTCAGCAACGTATGTATATAGTCTTATTAATAAATAAAATTAAAAAAAAAATTTTATCTTTTCACCCTCAGTTTCTTTGGTTTTTATATTTTATGTATCGTTTTATTTAATTTACATCTCTAACTGAAATCAATCTAATGCAATAGCGATTCGTATTTATTATTGGAAATACTAATATGTTGTATTGGAAATACTTATATTGGAAAAATTAATATTTTGTTTTTTTATGTGTTTTTTCTGTTATAATTTTACAGTGTTGGCTACAATTTTGTAATTATTTATAATTTAAGAGCTACAACTTCGTAAAGAACAACTGTTTTTTTGTAATTTTTGATGAAACCGAAACATGATATTATTTCAAATTGACAAAAAAGCGACACTAACTGAAAAATACCGATTTAATGTAATCTTAGATTTACTAAATAATGAGTAAATTTTTCGCAATTTCCTAAGAAAAAAGACATTTTTGAAAAGTCTGTTAATCCCTGATTTCACAGTGACTTAACTAAGAAACTAATTCAAATAGAAAATATTACTGGGATGTTATTTAATTGAAATCAGGAACTTCTCTTGATTTTTTTTTCTTTTGCAAATTAATGTTTTTATTACTACTAGATAAAAACAAATTTTTATTGTTATACTTTTTTTTGCTTTAAGCAGACATTTTATATCTCTGTTAATATTATTTTGAATAAATTTGCATCATCATTTATTCTTTTCTAGCGTGCCAACCTAAATCAACCCCTTCTCCAGCTTTAAGCTCTTCACAACTTTATACTCCATATTCAGAGTCAGAATCCTCAGGTAATATGTGTTTTACAAACTTTTAATTCATTTAATTTGATATTCACCATTTGAATCAATTAAAATTTTAATACTGTTTATGTCAAAAGTAAAAGTATCTCTTCTCGAAGTATGCCTATATAAAATTGAGCGTAAACATTCAAAACATGAATTGAATCCGTCTTAGCCGTATTGTGAATCAACGTGTTGTTATAATTAGGCCCGTGTAGTAAATGGTGACTGGTGCACCTTAAATCTGTTGGGTCACAAAGTCCTCCATGTTCCTATAACAAATCAATACCTCTGGGGGTACTGAATTGGAGATTGATCGTTCTCTGAATCAGATCAAAATTACTATATGCCGATGTATGAATGTTTCTGTCCTATAAATGGGTGCAACGTATGAGTGTAGCAGAAGTTTAATTCTTGGACACAGATGGCGCCACTGGAAAACAAGGACATCGCACCAATTGCCTGGCATACCCTACGAAAATTATAATTAGGAAAGTAGGAAAAACATGATAGGTTTAATTAAAGGATGGTTTGCCAATCATCTTTAAATTAAAACATCTATTTCAGGAATGAGCACCAATCAATTGGAATTACCAGCAGAATCTTGAATTTGTTATGTTTTTGTTTTTCCAGAATTTATTGAGAATAGAGTAACTGTTTTGGAGAATAGAGTAACTGTTTATAGGAATTACCAGCAGTTTTACCTATCATGCCAAGTCAAAGATTTTGACAGATGCCCTGTTAAGTATAAATGATACCCCGTATTAAAATGTTCTTTACAAAAAAAGGCATATAGGAGCAAATTTTTTTAAACTTCTTTGCGTTATAAAATTAATAAGTTTTTTGTAAAATTTTCTTATCGAAAATGAACTTTATAATTGATATAGCCTAAAAGTTAATAGATTCACCTGATTTGTTATGAAAATATGACAAGCATCACATTAAGTAAAAATGACATTAAAAAAGATCGAATTTTGGACCGCACTGCTGACTGAACTTTCGGTTTCTGAGTTTTTAAAATTAGTGTAACCAACCATTTATTGCCGTAATCAATCAATGTTTTTAAAAAATAGCATTTTTCTTCGGAATTACAAGGTGGCCACAGTCTTTAAAAATTTAAGACTGTCAAATATTTTATATCAGTATCGTAAATTATATTAGGCTTTAATTTCACGTTAATTTTAGGAATTGATTTGGTATTACAATTTTAAAGTAATTTTGGTCGATAATAATTAATTAAAACATTTTATGTCTCTGTCCATTTCTACCAATTTTTAATTTTTTTTAGAATAGGAGGGAATTTGATATTATATTATATAATTATTATATAATTTATTTGTAATGGTTATTATTATAGATAATTTATTTAAAAACTTGAAACCGAACCATTTAATCAGAAATTATGTAGAAGGACGGCTTTTTTTTTTTTTTTTTTTTTTTTTTTTTTTTTTTTTTNTTTTCTTATTTTTTCAGGGGGAAAAAACATAGTTTTTACCCCCAAGATAAGTAGATTTGTTAGAGTTTTTCCCTGAAAAGATCCTATTTCACCCGGAGTTAAATAGAGATTTTTTAATATAATCTATCTATCTATATATATATCAAAATTCTCCATATGAATAAAAAAAAAAGCAGGGTGCTTTCTCATAGAAAAAGGCACTATGAGTTTAGCCTGATACCGTTCGATTTCTGGCCCACGAACTGCCACTGGTTAGTATTCCATTGACTTATATTGTATTAATACAACTAAAAGTATATTTTGAATACTCTTAAAATGTTCTGTTAGTCAGAAAGAGATTTTCCTTCGGTATATAAATCGGTAGCAAAAAACCAAAGTCGCTTGCAGTGCTAACGACAGAAGACGAAGATTTAATATGAATGTAAAAATTGTAATGCGGTTTTGTATGTCGACCCTTGTTTTAACATATATCTTACTGCGAACTAGATTCAGAGGAAAACATAAAAATATTTCAATTATTAATGCATATGCACCTAGTGATGACAGTTATGATGAAGAGAAACGAACACTGTTCAGTTATTTACAGGATAGTAAAGATAGTATTAATTCAAAAGACCTATTGATGATCTGAATGCTAAAGTTGGATCAGAGAACTACGGAATTGAATGTATAATGGGGAGACATGGACTGAGAAGGAAGAATGAAAATGGGGAGCAATTTATCGATTTTTGTATCACTAACAATTTATGCATTGCAGGAACAATGTTTTAACACAAAAATATCCTTAAGGCTACAGAAGAAATAATGCTATTGATCAAGATTTAATGTCGTGAAATTTAAGACCAAGATAGTAAGCCAAGAATTTAAATTGAGCTTGGAAAATGGTTTTCAAATCACTTAAACGACATAGAAATAAATGAAGAATGGAAAGAAATAAAATAGATTTATATGGAAAGTGCTGAAGAGATTATTAGAAAGAAGAAATTAGATGATAAAGAGTGTATTTTTGAAAAGACCACGAACTTTGTTTGCGAAAGACGCGAAATAAGACGAAAAATAATCAAAAAAAAACTTGTTTGAAATTTAACCAGAACATTGGGAGGATTATAAGAGAAAAAATAAAGAATGTAAGATAAGTGCAAGACAAGATAAAAGGAAATATTACGAATATCTGGCCACATCAGCTGAAGAAACAGATAGAAACAATGACTCAAAAAGGCCCGATGAAATTAGTGGAAAGAGACGAGTAATTGAGTGACCAATTAAGAACAAAAAGGGTTTAAAACTTACATCAAAAGAAGACCTAACCAGAAGGTTGGTTGATTATTTACAGGAAATCTTCAGCAGACCAAATCCTGCTGTTTTGGAAGAATATTCCGGAAGAAGCACCCAGATAATTAGACATAAAGACCTCCAACCCTGCTTGAGGTGTTGTAGCAAACAATAAAATTGCATAAATGTGGGAAAGCTGTGGGCAGCGATAACCTACCTGGTGACTTTTTCAATGCATGTTCAAATACTGCAATCAAAGTTTTAACTGACTTGTTTAATAAAATCATGAAGAACAAAGAGTGGCTTAATGACTGGGGTGAAAGTCTGCTGATAAAACTACCAAAAAAGGTGATTTGATGATGTGTAACAACTAGAGAGAAATCACTTTGTTAAATGTATGTAGCAAAATTTTCACTAGAATATTGCTGGAAGAAATTTAAAAAAAGCAATTGACAAAGGCAGGTTTCAGAGCTAATAGATCATGTGTCGACCACATTGCGACTTTAAGGATTATAGTCGAACAATCAACAATATTGAATGGAAATCAACAATACATTTAAACTTCATAGATTTTGAAAAAACTTTCGTTGTTTTACGCAGAGAAACACTATGGAAACTTTTGAAGTACTATGAAATCTCTTGTAAATATTATCAGAAATATATATAAAAATTACATTATACGAGTTATCCATGCCGGCCAACTATCGGAATCTTTCAAGGTTGATTCCGATGTTAAGTAGGGTTGTATACTTTCTCCAACAATCTTTTTAATTGCTATTAATTGGATTGTGAGTATAGTAGCAGGGAATAAAAGGGGTATAAGATGGAATCTTACGGAATATCTTTCTGGTCTTGATTTTGCAGACGACTTATGTTTACTGACCAACCAACAAACACCCTACAAGACATGCAAACAAACACAAAAATTTTAAACGTTGAGGCAAAGGAAATGGAGCTCATTATCAACCAAATTTAAACAGAAATTTTGAAAATTAATCCTAAACAATTGAATAATATGTTTTTAGAAAATAATGAACTTGAGAAGGTAAGCAGTTTTACGTATCTTGGAAGTATAATTAACAACAAAAGAGAAATTGATGAAGATTTACTAAATAGATTAAACAAGATCCAAAACAGTTACTCTATTCTCAATAAATTCTGGAAAAACAAAAACATAACAAATTCAACAAATATTAGAATTTTCAATACTTATGTTAAATCTTCCCTACTATATGGATCTGAGACATGGTCCTGCAATAAAAATAACATGAAAAAACTTCAAGTATTTATTAACTGTTTAAGAAGAATATTGTGTACCAAGTGGTTCAATAAAATTTTTAATTCGGAAATCCTTAGAAAAGCCAAACAGAAACCGATTGATCTGGAAATTAAGAAATGAAAATGAATTGGTCATATTCTACGTAAACCTGAAAATTTTAAAGTTTTTGATTGGAACCCTCAGGGCGATAGAAAAAGAGGAAGACCTAAAAATACTTGGCTAAAGACGATTGTAAACGCATGGAAAAAAATAGGAAAGACATAGGAGAGGCGAAATAACTGGCCAAAAATAGAGGGAGATGAAAAGCTATGATATTAAATTGACATTAAAAACCATTAACAGAGTAAAACTTCAAAACGAATGAAACAAACGTGATTATAGAATCGATGTTTGTTGTTATAAATAGAATCACGCATCGAACATTGATAACTGAATAAATAAAATATTTAAAAAAAACTTGGTATATAAATATTTTTTTAATTTTGTTACTATATCATTTATTGTAGTATGTGTAATTCTTTTAAAAATATAAATCTTTAAAAGTCTGCCATTTAATTATGCTAACCCTGTATTTTAGAATTCTAATCACATCTGAAGCTGTGAATACAGGGTTATTCATAATTCCCTCCGGGGTTTCGAAGCGTTATAGTAAAAAAACGAAGACGAATATGGCAAAAAAGAACATATGAAATTATTCCGAAAGTATTCAAGTTTTAATTTAAGCAGTTGCCGGTATATGACAGTAACATGTACCACTGAAGCCAGTTGTAGTAAAGAAAAATGGCGTTTACAGGCGGAGGGAATTATGAATAACCCTGTATACTTTCGTAACTACTGTTTCAGATGTAATACCGCATGACAAAATAAACTGAAATAAAATTTAATATGAATTATTTTTACAGTAACTATATTGTAGTAATAACGTGTGTGTCGTGTAGTTTCATTCATTGCGGAAGTTAATTGAAAGCAAAATACCATTTTTTTAAGGACTGTACATCCCTATACATAAAGCCTATAGTGTTGGAATGTTTTCATCTCACAGGCTATTTACACTGCGATTGGTTGTAATAATTGACGCCTGACTCTCATTTAAAACAAATTTAATAAAAAAGTTGAGTTATGTTTTTTTCTAAAAATCCTAAATAATAAATTAAAATACAATGATGTGAATGTAAATTGCACGATATAAAGTAAAAAAGATAGCCGACTGGCCTGTGTAGGGGTTAGGAAACTGTCCTTGCAGCAGAAAGGTTCTGGGTTCGAATCACGGCAAGGCATGGATGTTCTTTCCTTCTCTGTACTATCTGTCATTATTGTGGGAGCAACGTTGACCCACCTAATGTGGTGCCCCTGAAAGAGAGGCCAACAAATCTGCCCTGTAAATGCCTTAAGTGACGAAAAATGTTAACACAGGTGGGCATTGGGAAAAAAAAGTAAAAAGAATATTAGAACCAAAATTTTTTAATGAAAATTGTATGTTTTTTTTAACCCTGATAAAGATATTTTTAAAAAAATTTTCATTACTTAAAAATTTTATGACATAGCATATGTTTTTATATCGTCTTTTAAAAATCTATTTGATTCCTTAATAAAACATATTTTCGTATTTTATTTTATAGGTTCTTTTAAATCTACTCCACCTTTTCCTTTTTCCCCACAGTTTTCAAATTATTCTCCTCGTTCAGAAGTTACTGATTCAGGTAATTTTTTGCTTTATCTACAATATAGTTTATTAGATATAAACTGTTATCTCTTAATATCTATTAGTCTTTAACTTTGATTGAACCCCCAATAAAATGTTATTATGTTGTATTATCTTAGGGGTCCCAACCTGTTTGTTATCGCACGACAACCCTCAGAACTACTTGATCAGCACTTTTCAGATCATTTCCCTCGCTCATTGATACAAATACAACGAAAATAAAAACATTTTTACTGTATAATTACTCCAAAAATAACAGGAAATTTAAACAAAGTAAGATGGGTTGTTTATCTTCAGCCGTAAGAGTACGTGGCTGAACTGCTAATTGTTTTCGTTAAACTAAATTACACGGCAAAAAAAAATTTCAACTTTGACATCAAATAATTAAAAATCTTTAATTATTTGATGCTACGCCCTATGCTCGCTAGCGTTCACCAAACCTCTGAACTGCTTGTGCAGGGTTCTTTTTACAACGTTTCGCTTGTTTATTTCACATACCTTTCAACTGAAGTAACGTGGCTCATTATAAATGCAATCAACCAAATTTTAAGAAAAAATCTCGTAGCCGTCATGCTACAGATTTCCATGAAAATTTCTTGTATGAAAAGTTCTTAATTAAAAAAATGGCAAAATTAATTTTTTAGAATTTTTGGACGAAAGCTACGATTAGAGGTTCATTTTAAAGTTTAACTGTATCTAAAAAAATGGCTTGTGGCTCGTACGTTTAAAATGTCTATTACTTTTTAATTTATGAGATTATAGTAAGAAAAAAGGTCAATACTCTATATTAAGCTATTGAAGTGTAGAAAATATCGATATAATTTTTTTTAAATTTTTATTAAAAAGTTTTTTGAGGAATCTTTTTTATTTAGTTATTTATTTTTTTTTTTTTTTGTTAAATTGAAGAAATTGTTACATTTTGAAATTTTTTTTAAAGAAATTTTCATAATGCTAAAAAGTTTATTGACCCAATTTTTTATGTTAAGCGTTTTATTTTTCATATAAAATACTCAAGAAAGTGTTTTTTATTCCAGTAATGAACAAAATAAAAATTTAGTTTTTAGCCAAAATATTTCAAGATTTGTTTATGATACAAAAACAGAGTTTCTTAACCTCAATTTTTTCACATACTATTAAATATTAAACACCATCTTGGTTTTTTTGTAATGAAAAATGTAACATTTTAAAAGAACAAATTAAATAAAAAAAAATTTATACGATAAAAAAATCTTGGAAGCTTTTTGGCTAAACACCACTTCGTATTTTTTGACATTTCCAAAAACAAAAAAAAAAACAAAAAACGTTCCTGATTTTCTATATTGAAAAATAGGACAATTAACATTATGAAAAAAATACTATCGTCAACAAACTAATTTCAATAAAAAATCTTGAAGTATTTTGACTAAATACCTCGTTTTATTTTTCTTAAAACGAAGAATACCCTCTTGATGTTCTCATGTAGAAAATATGATATTTAACATTATGAAAACAAAATTAAGGTGGTGAAAGTTATTACTTCTTTGTAAAAAATTCTTGAAATTTCCCCAAAATGTTTTTTGAAATATTTTTAAATACTTATATTTGCAACATTTATAGCGTGATTGCATAGTGTTGACTTTTTTCTTTCTAATTACACCAAAATTAAGAATATTTGCTCAATTTCAAAATGGCCAAATATTATAGTTTTGGTCCAAAAATTCTGGAAAAAAAAAATATTTTCGACGTTTTTTTATCTAGAACTTTTTTACAAAATATTTTCATAAAAATCGATGATGTGACGGCAACGCCCATTGATCTATTTCACTGAGAGTTTGTGCCGTGTATGTTAAAAAATTCCTGATAAAAATTAAATAATTAAATAAATAAAATGTAAATAATTAAAACCCAAAAATTATAAATTTAAATAGAATGGACATTATTTTGATTTATTTTTCAATAACTTATTCTTTTAATTTTCCCATAAGTATTTAAATAAGTTTAAATTATTTATAATTATTTCCCATTATTAAGTAATTAAATGGAACAAAAAAGCAAAAAAAGAAAAAGAAATTAAAAATTTTTTTTTTATTTATAAAATCACAAAATACAGCACTGTAAATAGTCTGACATCATACACACCAGTCAGTTTAACGAAGTGGGAAACCGAAAAAAAAAGTAAATGAGAATTCTAAAAATTCTCTATATTATACAAATATTGTCATCGATTCTTCCGTAATAAAAATATTCCAATAGTAATCTCACTGGCTCATTGATTAGATTATATATCAACTCACCCATTCATTTATTTGCTAATTTAATGATCCTTATAATTTGAAGTATCATTCATTTCCTGGTCTATTGAATCTCGTATTTCCGATTTATTAATTTGCTTATTTTACTGATTCCCTGACCTGCTGATTATTCATTAATTTGCCCACCGATTCCCTATGTTACTGTTCTTTTTTATTCATTGATGTACTCATTTATCGATTTGCTCATTATTTTTATTCTATACCTAGAGTTCAATTTTATGTGAATTTCGCTTTATTTCTGTCTAATAAATGTAATAAAAGCACTTTTACTATGATATTTACGGTATCTTTCCTAACCTCCGTAGTAAAAACGCAAAAGGATTAGTAAGGAAGCGAAACGCTTGTAGTCACTTAGTATATTTACTGGATATTAGGTTTAAAAACGAATTTTGGTTTTTTACGATAATTAATACAACGGAGAAAAAAAAACGGAAATTTTAAATAATTTTAACAATCAAATTGCTAGTATCATGTAAAAACATTAACAACGTTTTTACTATTTCATTTTATGATTAAAAAAAAATTGCTTGGAACATTTAAGCACACCTTGCAGAAAGAAGAGTGTATGCAGGGTTACCACAGGCGTTTAATTTCGGCATGAGGCGACTATTGCAACTTTTTTTTGCCTGAAAAGGCTAAAAAAGCAACTATTTTCATGAGAAGGAGACTAATGAGAAACCTTTCTGTACTCCTAGCGATGTTTTTTAGCATAAATTAGGTTGAAAACTCTGCGGTCCACGGGAGCTTCTAAACTCTCTGATTTTTTTTTCTTCTTAAAAAATAAAAAAAGTTGAAAATTTTGAATAGCGACTCCATTGTAAGTCTATTTTGGTTCTCGATTCAACGGTTATTCAACGGTTATTGCTAGGAAATTCCGTATAATTTTAAAAAAAAAAAAAAAAAAAAAAAAAAAAAAAAAAAAAAAAAAAAAAAAAANAAAAAAAAAAAAAAAAAACAGTTTTTAATACGATCTTACGATGAGTGAATTTTGAATTTGAGTAATCACTTTTCACAATCAATTATTGATAAAAAGGAAATTTATCTTAGAAAAAGTATGTTTTTTTTATTGAAAAAGTATTTTTTGAATGAGTTTTAGTAATTAAATTTCTGCAAACTTACTAATTTTTTTTTTATTGAAAAAGTTAGGGATAGAACACTAAAGTTCATATAAAAATTATTATATTGGCCACCAACTTGACTAAATGGATCATGGCATATGCTAATTAAGTCATTTAATAAAATTTTTTTCATATTTTTGTTCTTATTTAGGTAACTATTTTCATAGTTTTCGGGAACTATATTCATGCTTTAGGCTACTAAAAGCAACTATTTTGTTTATTTTTTTCTGTGGCAAGCCTGCGCATGGGAAATTAATTTAATAAAGAACACCTGTAAATGCTAATTATGCTATAACAGGAGTTTCCAACTGGCGGCCCGAGGGCCGCATCCGGCCCGCGAAGCCTTTTTTGTGGCCCGCGAACTAAAATATATTAGTTGTCATTTTTTTGATGAAACTTTTCGTAAAAAATCTTTATGGGTTTAAAATACTTTTCTCATTAATAAAAACCTAATTTCTTCGTTTTTGTGAAATTTAACATACCAACGGTCAACGGGGCAAAAAAATTGATTTCTCAGGTTGTAACATTTGTAAATTTTAAATTTAGTATGTAAATATTTATTCCCTGGTGGTTACAGCAGGCAAACCTCAATTTTCTCATTAAACATTTTGTGTGCTATTATTTAAGTTTTAATACCAACCTTTTTGAAGTTTTATATCTTAACAATTAGATATCTGTTGCACATTAATTGTTTAATACATAGGTGCACATTAAAGTTATTGTAGCCAGAATTTTTATTATTTTTTTAATATTTTTAAGAATATTATTAATAACAATTAAATATTTTTAAAAATCTACTTCTTATTTTAATTTGTAATTCAATACTTTTGTTTTAATCCTTTTACTCCTTCATGGCACTTTTAAGAAAAGAACGATTTTACCTATACTACGAGGTGTAAATCTTTTAGCTATTATAGAGTTTGTTGATTTTTAACCCCATTTTAATGTCTAACTATTGGAAATTTTTTTTTTTTTTTTTACTAAAAAATTCTTTCTCATATATTAAATGTTATTTTAATAAGAAAGTTCATAGAATAATCCTCATGATGATTTTTTAAAATACATTAAGTTTCGAAACTCTAACTAAAATCATTACAAAATTTATTAATATTTTAAGCCAAATTAGTTAATTATTTATAAGCAAATGAGGCCATTTTATTTCATGAAACAAGTAGTGATGCAAAACGCGATATTTAATTCTGGAGAAAATAAGAAGAGTGGTTTTTATTTTATGCCTGACTAACATTGAAAGCTCTTTTTATATTTATTACATTTTCATTCTTCATATTCTCCATGCATATTGTCCTGTTCGTCGTATTTGCGGCAAATTGTTCCCAATCAACAATCATTATCGCTATTTACAAACACTCGCTGCATTTAACATTCCAAGAAATCTAACGAAATAAATTGGAATGAAAAGCGGGGGTCGTTGAAACAATACCTTATACTAGTTAATTTTTTATTTTATTTAACTTTTAACCATCGAGTACAATAGGCAGAGCTGCAAAAACCGGTCTCTTACTTTTGATATTTCAGAATGATGCATGTTATTAGGATATTTTAAATTCTCCCCTTGCTTTAACTGTTTA